GACGAACTTTCGGACCGGCGCAGTATCCGAAACCTAAGTACCTGATTATTGGGTCTTTTGGGCCCTGGGGGTTACTCTAAGTTAGGGCTTAAGGGTTTTGGGGTTGAGGCTCCGAGGTGTAGGAACCCTAAACCCCAAACCCTAAGCCCCCTAAGCTCCTACAACCCGAAACCCCTATAAACCCCTATAGATCCCTTTCAAGGAACCCTTGTAGTACCCTTTAAAAGAACCCCTGTAGTACGCTTTACAGGAACCCCAAACCGCTGAGCCCTAGGGCCCTAACCAGAAAACCCAAAGCAGGTCATGACTTGGGTGCAGGGCCTGCAGGGTTTAGGGTTTGGGATTTAGGGTTTAGGAATTAGGGCTAGGCAGGAGCCTGCAATCATGCAGTTGGCGCTCCGGCGTAGGTTTGGATATTTAGGGCGGTTTAGGGTTTAGGGGCTTAGTACGACCTCACTTCGAAACTTAGCCTGAGTAATTGCCAAGCTATTCCGTGGGGTTCCTTGGACCCTAAACCCTAAACCGCTAAACCCAAAACCCCTAAACCCCTAAACCCTAAACCCCTAGTATACCCCTATAGGTCCCTTTAAAGGAACCCTGATAGTATTCTTTAAAGGAACCCCATATAGTACCCCTTCAGAACCCTTAAGGGAACCCTAAACCCTTAGTGTACTTGCCCTTCATGTCCTTCATGTCGTGGGCTTAGGGGCATCCTAGGGTTTAGGGTTTTGGGGTTCAGGTTTTAGGGTTTAGGGGTTTAGGGTTTGGGCGTTTAGGGGTTTAGGGTTTAGGGTTTAGGGGATTTAGGGTTTAGGGGTTTAGTGTTTTCGGGTTTAGGGTTTAGGGTTCCTAACTTACAGTTTGTGGCTAGCTATGAGATGGAAGACACGGTGCTTTTCTCAGTTCAGCGTACTTGAGATAGTGCAGGTTTTTGTCCAGGACTTTGGCCGTTGTCTAAGCTTATCGGGCTCTGCTATGGGGTTTGAAGTACCGAGGACCGGGCATTTGGATTTTAGATGTAGTCTGGACTCCGTTTCTTTGGATACTTGGAAGGCGGCAAGGTAGCCTCCACCCGCCAGTACAGACCACAAGGTTGGAACACCGAAAACAGAGTTTGGATTTGCCATACGAAAGAAGCCCCTTCAAACCCCAAACCCTGAATCCTAAACCCTAAACCCTGAACAAACCCTTAACCCTAAACCCTAAACCCTAAACCCTAAACCCTAACCTAAACCCCTGAGACGCAAACCCCCAGGAGGAGCTGCGTGGGAGTCGCCTCCCCAGTGGGCCGGAGCGTGAGAGGCGGCCGAGGAAATCTGCAGCTCCTTGGGGTCTCGGTTTAGGGTTTAGGGTTTAGGGCTTAGGATTTAGGGTTTAGGGTTTAGGGTTTTAGGGTTTAGGGTTTAGGTTTTTTTGGGGGGTTCAATATCCGGGCTTAAATCATCAGCACTCTGATTCTTTAGGGTTCCTTAGTCGAATTACTGTACAATATCCCACCCTAGTACTAGTACAATGATCCCCTCCACCCACCGAAGCAGTATTCTCATAACCCGAAACCCTAAACCCTAAACCCATAGGCCCCTATGTTGTGGGCTTCGTTTTGGGGCTTCGGGCTTGGGATCGCCGTGGGGCCGGGATCCCCCTCTGGTCAGGGTGTGGGGCTTTTGGGTTAAACCTTGAACCCAAGAAAGACCCTGTAAGCACCAAAACCCTGAAAGCCAAAACACCTAAACACCGAAACGCCTAAACCCTCTATACTGATGTAGGGGCCGGAATAATTATCAATACTATGTGGGGGTTCCCTATTATCATTATAGTTTTAGTATAATGGACCCCCAAACCCTATTCGAATTATTAAGGTTCCTATACTATGTTATGGGCTTCGTTTTAGGGTTCATACTATAGAAAGATTAGGCCCTTAATGGTAGCCCTAGTGTAGACTGTACCTCTATGTGGGCAGTACCCAACTTAAACCCTCTACTGTAGAACCTACTTTCTTAATCCCTAAACCCCTAAACCCTATAAACCCTAAACCCTAAACCTCAAACCACTAAACCCTAAACAGTAAACCCCAAACCCTTAAACCCTGAACCCAGTACCCAACCTAAACCCTCTATGCTATACCAAGGTTTACGAGTTCGGAGCTAAGGGGTTCAGGGCCCTGGAGGTCTGTTCATAGGTTTAGGGGTTTAGGGCTTCAGGGCTTTAGGGCTTTAGGGGTTTCCGGCTTACATTTGGGGATTTAGGGGTTTAGGGGTTTAAGGCTTACTGTTTAGGGTTTAGGGGTTTGGGGTTTAGGGATTTAGGGGCCTAGCGTTTAGGGGTTTAGGGTTTAGGGGTTTGGGATTTAGAGATTCAGGGATTTAGGGTTTAGGGTTTTATAGGGATTTAAGGGTTTAGGGGTTTAGGGGTTCGGGGTTTCGGGGTTTCAAGGATGCAGTTCGGGGGCTCAGAGAAAGGGTTCCGTTGCCTTCTTGAGCCTTGCACATCTCCAGACCACCCTTGGGACACCCGAGTTTTTGGCACAAGAGCACCTAAACCCTAAACCCTAAATCCTAAACCCAAAGCCCTGAAGCCGAAACCCTAAAGCCAAACCCCGAAAGTACCGAAACTCTAAAGCCTACGCCCTAACTTCCCACGCCATTCGCATCCCTGGGATGCCCCTCGGAGCTCTCTTTCCCGAGCCATCTGGGCACCGAATTTTAGGGTCTGCTCAAGGCAATGGCCCTGCAGGAGGAGCCCTAAAGACTCCCCCCCCTACGGTTTAGGGTTTAGGGTTTAGGGTTTAGGGTTTAGGGTTTAGGGTTTCCCTCGCATTAGGATGCGTAAGGGGTCGGGGTTTAGGGTTTAGGGTTTAAGCCCTCTGGTGAAGGTGTTGTTGAGGTTTATGGGGTTGTATTCGGGCTTGCTTGGCATGTACAAGGTTTTTGAAGCCTCATCTAAGATTGAAGCCACGGGCCCGTAGTATGGGTCCTTAACCCTGGGATCCTTATACACTTACGTACTGTACACCCTATAGGTACTCCTACGGGTCCCTAGAAAGGCCTAAGGGTCCATATCAGGGGCCCGTACTTCTAACCTTAGACAGTCTAAACCCTATAAACCCTAAACCCTCAAGGCCTAAACCCTAAACCCCCTAGAGACACTAAAACCCTAAAACCCTAAACCCTAAACCCCAAAACCAAAGTAGGGGCCCATGCTTCTGACCTTAGACCTCATGGGTTGGGGTTCCTTGCAGGCTGCCTGGGGGCTTGCAGGTCTTTGGTTCGGAAAGAGGCGGTTTTCTGTATGTGGTACCCAGAGATCCCAATACCCCTTAATTAAGGAATGTACCTTAAATTAAAGTGGCCTTAATATTATGATTTAAGGTATATTCCTTAATTAAAGGGTATTGGGTTCTCTGGGTATGTACCCCTAATCCCTAAAGCGTAGTGCGAATCCCCGCCTGTTTCGGAGTGTTCGTTCTGCCTGTTTCGCGGGTTGTTTAAGCCCCTAAGCCCGGAACCCGAATGGCCTCTACTCTCAACCCTAAACCCTTAACCCCCCAAATGCTAGTCAGGTGGGTTTTTGTTGGCGCTGGCTTCCGGGTAGAGCCCTGCATTGTAAGTATCTACAAAACCTCAAATGATATAGAGGTGTATATATGAACCCTAAATCCTAAACCCTAAACCTTAAACCACGATTGCTTCATGTTCCTACCTTGGCATATACAGGGGGTTTCCGAAAATAGAGGACCCTAATAGAGTACCCTATAAATAGTAGGATCTTTGGTATAAGGACCTCAAAATAAGGTACCCGTTATTTTCGGAAACTCCCAGAAAATGTCCCGCCAAAGCCAGAGCCTGAGGTGGAAGCACTTGTACCTGTGAGCTTAAACCCCCTCTACACCCGGCATTTTGTACCACTATCGGGGGCTTTAAAGGTTTAGGGTTTAGGGTTCAGGCTTTAGGGTTTAGGGTCTAGGCTTTAGGGTTTAGGGTAATATGGGGGCCTTAATAATTACCTTTACTCTGGGGGTTCCTGAATATTCTTATCGTGTAGTATGACGCAAAGCCTTGTTCTGATTATCAAGGCCCCTACATTAAACCGGTAAGGCACGTAAACCTGGCTCTACACACCAGCTCTTCACTCTTATCGGGCAGCTGTTGCATGGAGCAACCTTGTTGCTTACCTGTCCTTGTGGACACGTTCCTGCATGACGGTCCCTTGTGGAATTACTTAGCCAGTGAGCGAACATGAGTTTGTGGGGATTCTGTATCTAGTCCAAAATCTGGGCGCTTTCTGCCTCCAGCTGCTGAACCACAGAGTTTACTCTTTACTTTCACCAACAGTCTCCAAGCAACATCGCGCCGAAATTTAGGGTTCATGGTTGAGGACAGCCATCAAATGCAAGTGATTGCGCAGGTGTCTGACTAGGTATTCGCTGTGAATCTCCCAAGCTGTCGCTCGGTTATGCTGGATCCTTAGAATGGCGCCCCTAGATCAGACCCAGAGAGCCCAATACCCCTTAATTGAGCAATATACATGAAAAATTATCGGCGCCTTCATAGTATGATTTAAGGTATATTTCTTAATTAAGGGGTATTGGGTTCTCTGGGGAGTTGTTTCGATAGTCTCGCACAACTCTACAAGACAAGTCGAGTGCAAGATTTGTGGTCGGTTGCTGTGGGCAGTGTTTCCGGTTTCGTTGTATCATATCCTAAGCATGATGCAGACTCAGACTCCTAGCTAGTATCGGTCCGTTGAACCGTGACCAAGGGCTCGTTTTCTGGGAAACTCCGGACGGTCAGAAGCCTGGCTAGTGAAAGTCACTGGCAATATGTCTCGTACAGCTGGGTTGCCCATGAGCCTGGAACCTTTTTCTCCTTGCCGCTGTAGCTGGGCGAGATGGTATGAGGGACTTTTCGGATTATGCTTCGCATCTCGAGGAGGTAGCCACTTATCATGCACCTGCTGATCCTGTGAGTATGTCTTGTGAATATGATGCTACTACACCTACTACTACTACTACTACTACTACTACTCCTGCTGCTACTGCTACTACTGCTACTACTACTGCTACTACTACTCCTACTACTACTACTACTACTCCTACTACTACTACTACTACTACTACTACTACTACTACTACCACGACGGCGAGGACGACGACTACTACTTCTGCTGCTGCCGCCGCCGCCGCCGCTGCTGCTGCTGCTGCTGCTGCCTCTGCAACTGCCACGGCTACTGCTCTGCTACTGCTGCTACTGCTGCTGCTACTACGAGCTAGTACTTGTACTGGTACTGCCACTGCCGCTACCGGTACTGCGAGTACCTCTACGTCTACCACTACAACTACCACTGCCACTGCCACTGCGACTGCGCCTGCACCTGCCACTGCGACTGCGACTGCGACTGCGACTGCGACTGCTAATCCTACTACTACTACTACTACTACCACTACCATCACTGCCACCTCTACTACCACCACCACCACCACCACCACGACCACGACGACGACGACGACGACGACGACGACGACTACTACTACTACTACTACAACTACTACTACTAGTACTACTACTACTAATAATAATAATAATAATACTACTACTACTACGACGACGACGACGACGCTAATACTAGTACTACCACTATTATTACCACCACCACCACTACGACGACGACTACTACTACTACTACTACTACTGCTACTGCTGCTGCTGCTGCTGCTGCTGCTGCTGCTGTTGCTGCTGCTACTACTATTACTACTTGTTCTAGCCCCGTGGTTACTCTGAGTGTCCTCAACGCGCCTGCGCCCAGCAGTTTGGCAATTTAACGTGTTCCGGATAGCCGGGACCGTTCAATGCCCAGACAGAAAGTCGGGGCAGAGCCGTCTTCCCTCGGGCTCGGGCATCGGAAGCCTTTAGTATAGGTAGAGGTCTCAATACTTACAAAAATCATAATCCCTTGTTCCCTGTATAGCTATAAACCCCTACGGAATCCGGGCGAACTCCGATCTAAAGCCTGGTCCGGGAAGGAAGTCAGTAGCTCAACTGGCGAGTGCCACCGTCTGCATTGGGATGCGGGTGCGTAGTATGCGGGATTCTGTGCGAAAGATGTACGTGCTCATGAGATTCTGATGTTGGGGTCCGGCTATCCCCCAGCCCTAAACCCTAAACCCGAAACCCTAAGCCCTAAGTCCGAACTGAGTATTATGCCGTAGGTTCGTCGTTCTCAACAGTTGACCTTGCTAGGGTTTAGGGTTTAGTGGCAGCTGCCAGAAAGTTAGCAGCTCAATAACCCTAAACCCTAAACCC